GGGAATGTAAACTGGTACAACCACAATGAAAATCAGTATGGAGACTCCTAAAAAAACTAAAACTAAAAGTTCCATTTGCCTATCTATTCCCCTTCTAGGTATCTTCCCAAAGAGTTAAAGACACCATATTACAGTGATCTATATATACCCATGTTTACAGAAGCACGATTTATAATAGTTAAATGTTAGGGCCAGGGATTTAGCTCAGTGGTGCCACCACTTGCTTGCAAGCACAAGATCCTGAGTTCAATCCCTGGTACCAAGAAAAAAAAAAAAAAGTTAAACATTAGAACAACCTATATGTCCATCAACAGATGAACTGATAAAGAAAATGTTATATTTACACACAATGGAGTACTGTTCTGCCATAAAGAGAGATAAACTTGAGTCATTTGTAGGAAAATTAATTCACTTTGAGACCATAATGTTAAGTGAAATAAATTAGACAAACAAGCTTAAATATTGCATGGTATCTCTTATATGAGAAACCCAAATTATAAGTAAAAAGCAAAATAAGAAGTAGATAATAGAAAGTAAGGTGATACATCTTTCTCAAAAGGGAAGGAGATCCAGAGATAGATGGAAGAGGAGGACAGGAAAGGAAAGAGGATTAAAAATAATTCAAATGCATTATGTGCATGTACTGGCCTCACATAAGGGATATAAACATTATATATTACTCACAGATTCTAATAAAACAAAGAAACAAATGCATGAGACACAAATCAGACATCCAAGTTATCTTCTGTAGCTATTTCACTGGGGTTTGGGTACAAGAGGAAGCATCCCTTCTCCCCCACTATGGAAGTGGTGGAATTCACAGCAGAGCTAACTTGAGAAAGAAAGAAAGGGAGGGGGGAAGGAAGGGGGGAGGAGGGGAGAGGGGAAGGGGACTGCAACCTTACGCTTCTTTTTCTCTCTACTCTGACTTTAAAAGTGGGGAATGGGCCACAGGTTGAAACATGAGTATCTCACTTGAAATGGGGGGCAATGGCCTCACTGTCCTGGGCCTACAGCTTAAATTGAAAATGAAATAGTTTATCTCAAGACACTTTTGAATCTTTCTTTCATCCATGGCCAAAATCATTCACGGAAAAGCCAAAAAAAATTTTCTGCCATATGAAAAAGAAATAAACAGGACATTTGTCAAATTGCTTATTCTATTTTCTGGATATAGATTCACATTCAAATTTTGATTCAAAGTTGTGAAATTATATTCACAGCAGGGAGAAGGTTGTCTTCTTTGTCCACCCACTAGTCCCTCTCTTAATCAGAGCTCCTCATAAGATTTTTTTGGGGAGGGGTTGTTTCTTACTCACTGAATTCAACAGAAAATAAAACAAGACGAGTATTGTTGAATTCTCCAGAACAAACACAGAACATTTGACGTCAGCCTGCCCAGGGTTTGTGTGTACCCAGAGCAATCTCCTACAACACCCTGGGGACAGATAAAGCTGTCAAAGACTTACTTGGGGGTGGGGTTCAAGTTTGCTGGTTTTTACCTTCTTGTCCTTTGATGACCATTTCATAGTTCTCTTAAAAACAAAAACAAAAAAAAACCAAACCAACTCTACTTTTCTACACTTGATGTTAGCCAAAGGGCCAAGAAGCAACAATCTCTTTTTCTATATCCTGCTTTATTACTGTGCTGAAGCTTAACTGGACATTGCCAGTGTAAGTATATCCTACTGAGATTCATGTATTTATTGAGAGCCAGGTGTTAACAGCTTCCTACAGTCCTGTGATAAACACAAGAAACATCACCAGTTCATTAAAATTTTAGCACTTAGTTGCTCAAAACACAGTTGTTTTCAGAGGCTTTCAGAAACTCCTCTAAGTGCAGAGACACTAGTTCCCTTTCCTCCTACAGTTCAAGTCAAGTTTGTCAGAGAAGGTTCAGGGGGAGCAGCCAAAGTCCAAGTGATTAGGCCTGGCAAGCTCCTGGTTGAATTTAATCAGATATCTTGAACTTTCAATCAGCCTAAACTTCTGTAGGCAGTTTTTGTAATTATATCGGCACACACATTTTCCCATTTTGATAATAAAACTAGAAAGATCTTTTACGCTCACAGACAAACCTTTATACTGTAAAAGAAAGATAGTATGCTAACAGAAGCTCAAAAATCTCAAACAGGGGCATGGCTTCCTGACTTCAGAGTCAGGCAGCATGTAAACCAGATTGACGCTGGGAGATCTCCTCTGCCAACTCCTTTCCTGCACTCAAACACACATTTTACTCAGATGTAAGAGGCTTTGTTAGCAGGGACGCCTCTGCTCTGCTTTGATATTTGGAGCCCAGCTGAACCTGACCGACCACAGCTCTCTGCACACACCGGACATCCATCTTCAATCAAGAGCAGCTGAGTAAACTGGCCCAGAAGTGGACTTGGCAAACCCAGAGCCTGGGCTAGTCCACCAGAGCTGGCAGGTCCACACCACTTCCCAGGGGTTTTTGCCCATGAAGCTAATTCAGTATTAAGTTTGTATAAGGAAAATAGAATGAAAACAACTAAAATAATTTTTGTTCTGCTGGATTACAGCAAAATCGACTAAACACGAAGCACGGTTTATACAGTCTAAGCACAGGATCACAGACGGGCACCACCAGCATGAATGCCAAGGAAACATAAATAAGGTCAATGTCACAGTCAAAGATACATCAAATTTAATGATACGTATTTAATGATACGCATAATCACAGTATCAGCCCAACTAGATGGGACCAGGTGCTAGAAACACAGTTCCCCAACTTCACACATCAGCTGTCTCTGGTGACCAGCCGCACTCTTACTCCAGATCCCCAAGAACAAAGAGGTACGCCTTCGCTCTTTTTCTCTCCCGCCTGAGGCCGAAGAACAGTCTGGGAGTGGGAAATAAAGAAAGATCTCTCTGCACAGCTCTTGCTCAGAGCTACCAGGAGGAGCTCTTTTAATGGCAAAACCTCCACACTTGGCAGAGCCTCAAGGACAATTTGTTAAAATTATGACCTCTGTGAAGAGGCTGCAAGATGAGGGAGATTTGGCACGGCAGTGTGATAGTCTTGGACATTTACCCCAAGTGTATACTGGTTAAATGGTTTGCTTTCTGAAATCTAGTGCCTAAGGAAATGGGAATTTCAAGGACTTTTGAGTTTCTACAGAAGAGGGGGGACATGAATTAGAACCCTTCCAAACCCATACTTCTTCATTTCGTATTTGTATCAAGGGGAGGCTCTACTCCCTCTCTTTCCTTTTCCAGAACCTTTATCCGCTCAGAGTTGGGTGAGCCAGCAGCAGGGATAAGACATCCACAGTCTGGCCTTGTAAGTCCTACCCAGGACTGTTTTCCTGACTGTTTTGTTTTGATTCAGAGTGGTTGGGCATAAGAATGTTTATAGCCTGCTTAGGAACTTTGCTCAGTGACAGCTGCACCTGAGAAGAATTTTGGGATGCATTCAAAAATGGGACTGCACAAAACTTTCCATCATCCAACTATTCCGTCATTCAAGAATATGAGAAAAAAATTTCCATTCTATCTGTGTTATAAACGACCCACGGAGGTTCTTTCCTAAAAGTAAACATGAGTGAAGCTTCTACTCATTGAGAACCTGGTGCTGTTCAAATGACAGTCCAAATAAAGACAGTCCAAAGATAGTTCAGAGAAGTAATACTAGCCCCTACATACTTTTGAATATTTTATCATTTCCATGAATAATCATCTCTCTATAAATCACATGGCGTGTGTTGATCTAATCAAAGGACTAAACAGACAGAACTTGGGAGGAAGCCTTCTTGTGGACAGATAAATGTTTTGTCAGATAAAAGAAAGAAGGACCCCCAAATGTCTTTCCTGAAAAATGAAAATTATTTACATAGGGAGATGGTGTTACAAAATTGTCTCAGAATTGGTCTACTATGGGATTAATGATAATTCATTACAGTTTATAAAACAGCACATATTATTAAGAGTAAAATAATAAACTCTGTAAGAAAAGTTCATATATCCAATTATAGCATATGGTTCACATGGAGGAAGACAATTAGAGACAGCTGTACTGTAAGTTGATTCTGGAAGGCAGCTCAGAAGGGGTAATTACAGTGGTAAGCCTTCACTCTGCAATTGATTACTGCACACACGCACACACACACACACACTCTCTCTGTGCACACTTCAGGTGGTGCCTGATTTATGAGGCCTAGATGTAAAGCTGTACTTGCTAATAGGTCCTTATCAACGACTGCTGCAAAGCTGGTGTCAGGAGGCAGAGGACATTGCTTTGCAGCTTAGCCAGTCCCTACCAGGTGTCTGCTCTATATTTGAAAAGCCACAGGTGGTGGTGAAGGCAGCACGGTGTGCAGAATACTATTCTGCCACCAGAGTTCATGAAATCTCTGTTCCTGCTTCTGCTTCTTCCACTGCCCAGAGCTATGACTTCAGTCAAACCAGCTAATGCCTCTGTGGCTTGCTTTGCTCTCCTACAGGATGAGGGACTGCTCCCCAGTCCTTGGGACTCAACATCAAAATCAACATTGCAGGAGTTCATGTTGTCAGTGGCTTTATCTTCCCACACCTTCTCATGGAACCAAGTGCTTTTAAAAATATGTCCACAAATTCCTTCGCACTTCTCGCTGTACTGTGCCTCTCTGCATGTTCTGACTGACTCTAGAAGCCCACAGCATAATGATGACCTTGTGTGACCTTCAAGGGCAGATCACAGAGGCAGACGCCTTTGCACCTGAGCTTCTTGGATACATCCATCGCTAACGTATGAGCTGTCCACACACAGATCTCATGTTCCCACTCTGAATTAATGTAGAAGAATCAACCGCCCATCACTGTGAGACTAGAAAGAGCAGAAATAGAACAAAGAGGGCTATCTATCAGAAAATTCAACAAGGTCTTCACTCGCCAGAGAATATCCCTGAGCAATATCTTGTGGTGACTTAATTAGGCAGTGGGGGCATTTGCTGAAGGTTTGAGACCAGTGTTGTGTTAGAAAAACAAAAGAGGAAACCACTCACCAACTCCAGACATTGCCGGTGGCCATAGGCAGCAGCGTAATGTATGCTATTGTAGCCCTCCTTGTCCCGGATGGACGGGTTCGCGTCATGCTGAAGCAGAAACTCGAGGCATCTGTGATTGAGAAGATGAGCTTTATTTTAGACAATGTGTCTGGACAAAAAGGGATGATTAGTGTAAATATACCCTATTACGGATGCTCCCCAAAATACTTTGTGAATTTGTTTCTTTAAAGATCCTGCTGTGATGAAACTTTATGTGACAGAAGGTGTGTGTGTGTGTGTGTGTGTGTGTGTGTGTGTGTGTGTGTGTGTGCATTCTGTAGTTGTCTTGTCTTTCAGTTTACAATAGCCATTCTAGATTTGGGAAAAACTTTGGAAGCAAACGGGTAATTTAAGTTTTTTCTTCTCATCTTAAGGTACAGAACACATGTATCATCAAGATTTCTGAATAATAACAATTAACTCTCCAAAAGTTGAAGTCCCAGTGGAAATGGTGGTACACGCCTGTAATCCCAGCACTTGGGAGTCTGAGGCAGGAGATCATCATGAATTCAAGGCCAGCCTGGGTTACATAGAGAATTCAAGGCCAGCTTGAACTACATAGAGAGACTGTGTCTCAAAAAAAAAAAAAACCAAAAAAGTTGAAGTCTCAAACGTTTCAAAGAAGTGGTCAGCACAGGTGTGTAACACAGGCTCCCAATCCCAGTTACTCAGGAGGCTGAGGTAGGAGGATCTTGAGTTCAAAGCCAGTCTGGGCAGCAAGGTGAGACCCTGTCTCAAAATAAATTAAAAAGGGCTGAGGGTTGCTCAGGGGTGGCGTGTTTGCTAGCCTGCACAAGGCTCTGGGTTCATTCCCCAGTAAAAGAAAATGTGGCCAGGCCACTCCAAGTAGGCAAACCCAACAGGAAGAATATTTTAAACATTGCTATTAGAGACTGAGATCCAAAAAGGAAATGGAAATTTTAAATTTAAAATAAAGAAAAAGTGAAAGAACTGAAGGACAGTCAGATAAAAAGATGACTGCGGGGGATAAATGCTTAAAAATATTAAGGGAGCTTACACTGCATGGTTAGGATAGCCATGGTTAAAAGCCCTTTATTGGTCTAGTTGCAGTTCTTCTGAGAGAGCCTCCAAGTTTGGAATGGGGCAGAGGCAGGAGCTGCCAGTGCTGCACACGGTGCCGGCAGGAGCTCAGTGGGAGGAGGGGTGGAGAAGGGAGCCGGGGTGGCCCAGGGCCCAGCTCGCTGCCCTGAGGAAGAGCTGCTGGAGCAGGGCACCCAACGCATCTTATTTCGGTGACAGTGGGACAAACGTTTGCACAAAGCCATGCTGATTCAATGTCAGACTCACTGAGGTCCTGAGTCTGAACGTAACCCTTGCACAGCCAGTTCCAGGGGCATTTACTACCTTTGGGTATAAGGCAAAAGGGATAGAACTTCCTAAACTGGTTCTTTAATTTCTAGAAAGCCAATGAAAGAAATTAAAAAAAAAATCAAATACACACTCATAGTATTTGTCCATAAATGCTACATAATAAATCAAGCCTTTATCAGAGTCCTGCTGTCTTTGGGCATTATACCTTATAAGGGAGTCCTTTTGTCTCTGGAAAGGGTCCCAGGTATGACGCATTGGAAAGTGAATTTTAATGAAATGGTTCCCTCCACAGGACAGCACGGCCACACTCACCCGAACTTCTGAATGAATCTAAGAATGAGCTGGTGAATTCAATTCATGATTTGGAAAGTATCTGGACCTGCTCCTAAAGGCTACTGAACCCAGAATACAGCTGGGCTATACAACCGACAGTGCGATCATAGTAACAGTATTCTCCATACAGCTTCTAAGGAGAGTAAATTTCATGTTTAAGTGGGAATCTTATTTTATCTCCTACAGGGTCCTGTCAGTCTGCCGTGTAAGGTAGGGAGAAAGGAGCCCTGCAGACTGGGAGGACTGGACAGAAGCCTCTGGTTGCGGGGATCTGGACCAGGGGAGCAGCTCCCTTTTGCCTGAAGGAGATCGAGCATCCTCGCCCTTTCTCTTCCTCTGCCATCTTGACGTTGCTGGGGTACCCAAGGCAAACTCAACTCGCACTTCCTGGCAGAAGCAGAATTTGCTTTTAATGTCATTGCTTTAAATTCTGGAGTGTTAGGCAAAACCTCGGTCAGCCTGCTCTCCTCATAGTTGGGTCTCCTGTCCCTGTCACCTGCGGCAGGACTCCATGCTCTCACTGTCCTTCCAGCATGCTCTGGGCACGGGTGGGCAGGGGCCTGGGCAAGGTGGGCAGATCTGAGGGTAGGCACAACCTCTGGGTCATACAGGAGCAGGTTCCTCTGGCACCCGGAAACCACAGGCTGGTGACAGCAGCCACTCCTGCCCCTGTGAGGGCGACACTCGGGAGCCAGAGGAGGCAGGGACAGGCCCCAGGCAGCTGTGCGCAGGGTGCAGGGGCCCTGTGTAAGCTGAGGTGCTGGAGAGAGGGTGGAGGTGGGGGAAGCACAGCTGTGCCTGTCGCACCAAAGCCCCAAGACCTGAGGTCAGAGAGGCAGAGAAGAGGCTGAATTCGTCAGGGCACAGGGCAGTCAGAAATGACATCTAAGCGGGACAATTTCTGAGCGCTCATCATTATCGTCTACGAAGGATGAAATGTTAGAAAAAGATCCTTGGGGCCAGGGATTTAGCTCAGAGGTTCCAGTGCTGCCTCGTAAGCACAAGGACCTGAGTTTGATCCCAGCACCAAAATAAAATAAAATAATAAAATAAAAATAAAGAAAAAGATTCCTGTGTGGCGAAAGCGTGACTGGAGGCATGGGAAGGACAGCTTCTCCGCCACAGGTGACCCACGTCACTTCCTCAGGATCCCAGATGAGACCCCAAGAGAGGAAGGCGGCCACGCGGCAACCCCAAGAGCCAGCGCCTCGTCCTTCCTCAGAAGGAACTTACAGTGCAGCCTCTTTCTCCTTCAGCTCCCTGGCTCTTTCAAGTTCTTCTGAATTTTCATGGGCGTTTCCCAACATGGTCTTACTTCTCAGCATTAAGGGAAAGGAAAAAAAAAACCACAAATTAATTTTTAAAAGTGCAGTCATTCTTGGTCTCAGTTATTTTACCCCCAAGAATGGGCACCACTGATTTTCACAGAGGATATACACGGTTCTCCCCAGAGCTACCTGGTAAATCTGTTCTCGCTCCACGGATCCAACTGAGGCTTCTCCCTATGTGTCTGTGACCAAGAAGATTCCTGAGTTCCCCACCCTTCCGGAGGCACCCCAAAGCTCCAAGAGAAAGGGGTCACCTTGGCTCAAACTTCCCTGCAGCCCAACACACTGCTTGCTGCCCCCTTGAAGGTCAGTGTCCCACTCGCTGGGAGTGGGGTCCCCTCACCCTTCACCTCCCAGAATAACTTGCCCCCCAGGACTCCCTTGCTGCTCTCCATGGAATGGAGGACACTCGCTCCCCCAGCTCCACCACCACCACCTCTGCCAAGGGAATAGCACAGAGCCTGGCATACAGCAAGTACTCGGCAAATGTTGGTTGAATTAATATCCTGAATTAATTCCTACTGAATTAATGGGCTGAATGAACAACCCATTACAGAATGGAATCAATTTAATGGGTTGCAATCTGTGCTTTTAAAAAAATGAAATGGAATTGAAAATATCAGAATGCACGACACGTAGCAAATGCAAATATGGTTTCATGAAATTCCCCCTTCTGTCTTGCACACGCACGTATGTGAACGTGTGAGGAGGGTCATGGCGCAAAGATGAATTTCTTATTGCGGGTCAGCATCTAAAATGCATGAAAGGCCAAGGGTGCAGCTCCCATAGTAGGACGCACGCTTAGTGTCAAAAATAAAATGACATTTTAAAGTGTTTGGAAATTATTGCTCTATATGCACAGGACAGCAGACAACTCAACAGTTCTCCAAACAGGGCCAGCAGGAAGTATTTCCCAGGGAGGCCTCGCTGTAAGCCTGGAGAACAATCTCACAGACGTGGGCCCTCCTCCCGCCTCTGGGCCTGGCTCGCCGATTTCTGTTTTCCATTCCTAGCCACCTGGAATCGAAACACCACCAGGGCCACCCGTTTCCTGCCCTCCAGCTGCTGGAAGAGCATTCAAGCTCAGGTTTGGGACAAAGACCCTCTCTCGACCATCCGAGGCTGTGTTCTTGGGCCAATGGGATTGCGTACAGTGGGTGTTTTTGATGTATGATGCACATCTTAGCAAATGTAAGTTTTACGGCAAATGAAGCGTTTAAGTGGTAATGATGAAAACTCTGGTGTATCCTGAATAAATTGCAAAAGATTCTGAATGAACGGAAAACCTGGCCTGTGAGAGAAACTCAAGCACGGCTGAACCAAGGGTGCTGCTCGCACATCTCCTAGCAGGCTGGGGAGACCCAGAAGTTTGAGCATGCACACTCCTGTGTGTTGAGACGGGCTTAAAACTGGCTGAAGGACGTTCAGTTCCTCCTATCCTTTGCCTCCAACGCTCGCCCAAAAGATCAACCAATCATGTTATGCCCCGTATGCAGTGTCCCACCCTCGCTCCTTGACTATATAAGTGATTGCTCTGACTATTAAAAATGGAAGCTTCCAGAAACCTCCCCAGAGTCTGCTTGGTGATTCTGCGCCTCACCCTCCCCATCTGAACTTCAGAACCACAGTACGAACAGACAAACAACAACACTGGCCTCGACGGCTCCACCTGGTATTCAACCCAAAGAATACAGAAGAGAAAAACAGTGTAAAACTCTAGCGTGACTCTAACTCCCTGGGCTCTGGAAGACAGAGGCCTCCACTCGCAGTTCCCAGGAGGTGGCATGGAGAAAATTCAGTGGCGCCCCCTCCCCAGAGCAAATGTGGGTGACGGAGGCTGCCTTTACTTTCTGTCCATGTCCGAGGCTGCAGCATAGTGCAGAGCTGTCCGTCCCCAGTCATCTGTTTCGTTGACGTTGGCCCCAGTGGTCACTAACGTCTCGATACAGTGGAAATGACAATTGGCAGCTCCATAGTGCAAAGGGGTTCTGGAAAACAAAGAGGAATGCATTACTCACTGGGCCTGGAGCAGGGCAGCGGGATGCGAGCCCCGACAGTGGGCCTCCTCCCTCAGTGCCGGGTGCTCTCCAGCTCCCTGGGTATGGAGGCCAAGGATGCACCTTCCTCCGATCCTGTCAATCGAAGCTGAGAACGCAGACTGGGGACTCGAGACAGGCCAGGCACGGGGCGAGTCTCTCCATTCCTGGCGCCTGCCCTGGTCCGGGTCTGTGTTACTGCTTTTTGGGAACATTGAAAGACTATCCCCAAGCTGATCCACCTGTCCATCCTTCGCCCTAATCAAACTTCCGTCCAACTCTTAGTTCATACAAATGAAGAACAGAGGCTTCTAAGGTACAACCCTAACTGTGACAATCCTGCTTGAAAAGCCTTCAGTCCCCATTGACAAAGGCTCGATTCTTCGGCCTGGAGTTGAAGGCCTTCCCGAGCTGGCTCCCATCCCTCTCAGTGTCTGACCCATCAGTGTGTTCCAAACCAGTGTCCTGAGGGTTTCCAGGTCACGTCCACACCTCCTCTACCTGTGCTCATGCTCTCTCTTCCACTCCTCAGAACCCTACTCATAACTGGGCATGGTGTTGCACACCAGTAATCCCAGTACTCTGGGAGGCTGAAGCAGGAGGATGTAAATAAAGTTCAAGCCCAGGCTGGACAACTTAGTGACTGAGAGTCTGTTTCAAAATAAAACTAAAAAGGCCGGGGATGTATGCAGCCCAGTGTAAAGGCTCTGAGTTCAATCCCCAGTGTTGCCAAAACAAGAACAACAACAACAAACCCTGCTCATCCTTCATGCTGTAGAGGTTGCCTTGCTCTGTCTGAGGTCACTCAAACTCTCTGAGTCTCCTGAGCTCGCACTATGTATGGTCTTGGTTTCTATCACTGGCATCTTCCTCCTGTCCGATCCTCTCCACTGCTCCGGAGGGCAGGCGGGCAGGTGGGGGAAGAAGCAGGCACGGACTCAGAAGCCCCAGCTGCAGTCCAGGCTCCCTCCGGGCCTGGGCCTCCTCGCCTTACGGTGAGATAGACCTGTCAACAGCTGTCCCCCAGGTCTTTCCCAGGTCTAAAATTCGGTGTACGTGTGTAAGTCACTACGGTGCTTGGGCTCAGAGCACTCATCTATTGCAGAATGAAACAGGCACCCGGACACCCCAGGAGTTACCACAAGAGGCACCTTAATGGGTAAGACTGAAAAACAATGAGCCGATTTGTTTGATCTTGCTTATTGTTTGTTCTCATTTATTTAACAGTTTTTCTGGTGTGACTGTTTTCTAGGGAATTATAAGCAGAATATTAGAAAATAAATTGAAGTTCGAGAATTATTTACAATTTTCTTTTCTTTTTTGTTTTTTTTTTTGTTTTGTTTTGTTTTTTTTTGGTGTTTTTTTGAGACAGGGTCTCACTATGTAGTTGAGACTGACCTGGAACTCACTATGTAGCCATGTTTTGTTTTGTTTTTTTTGGTGTTTTTTTGAGACAGGGTCTCACTCACTATGTAGTTGAGACTGACCTGGAACTCACTATGTAGCCCAGGCTGGTCTCGAACTCACAGCAACCCTCCTGCCTCAGCTTCCTGAGTGCACCACCATGCCCGGCTTATTAACAATTTTCAAGTAGAACTGTTTTGAATTTTGTGGTCCATTTCTGGGCTTGTTTACTACTTGGTTTTCTCCTCTTTAGTCCCAAAGAAGGACATTCTAAGTATTTCATATCCTGGACTGCCTACGTTTTGATGTGGGGCTGAAAATCATTAGGCAGCAGGCATAGGACAGTCCAAAGTTAGAGAAAACACCAGTCCTAGTTGTCAGGAGGGAAGGAGGACAAGGGACAGGGCCCCTAAGCGCAGGGTGCTGTGGATTTCGGTGGTGGAGTGTGTGGGTGCCAGGGGAGCACAGAGAAGGACTTCCCGCCGGGCACAGGGAGCAGTCGCTGACGTGAATCTGGAAGGATGAGGAGCTCTCTTGGGTAGGGTGGTGAGAAAAGAGATTTGAAGCAACCCCAAAGAGCCTGAGTGTGGGGAAGGCGGGGTGGAATGCTAGGGGAAGGAGTCGTGTGGTGCTTAGCAACAATTTCTGAGCAACATGCTGGTAGATGACTTTGTCACTGTGTGAACACAAACCTGGATCGTGCAGCCTACTATGCACCTGGGCTGCATGGGGCAACCATTATACACGCGGGCAGAGTTGACCAAAACGTCGCTGTGTATATGCGTGCACGCGCGCGTGTGTGTGTGTGTGTGTGTGTGTAAGAAACACATGGCATGTACTAGCATCATGGCATAGTCTAGCTATACCAAGGACCATAAAGGTATAAAGTCACACGGCCCACTGTGGGTTGTATGTTCGTGTATAAATATGTCTAAAAACTTATCCCGAGACAAAATGTCTGATACATATAACAAAAGCATCAAATCTTATGACCACATCCTGCGGGGAAGGGCTAACGTGTTCTGTTCAGCTACAAACAAATGTCCTACGTTAGATCCCTGGGAATAAAAAAGTGGAAGAAGGGAGTCAAGTGGCTCCTCTAATCAGAAGCCAAGAGAGGAGATGCTTTCCCTATGGCCGCATCTTCTTGATGGCACTTCCCTGCAGGAGGGACGCCCGTCAGGGTGGGACCCCAGACCACGCCAATGCCACACACTTCCTCCGTGGACACTTCCTGAGGCCGAGGTGCGGCATCCTGAATACGTACCTCCCACACTTGTCCTTCCTGTGGAAATCCGCTCCACTGCTCTGCAAGAGTTTTATACATTCCACATTACTAAAAAGACAGAGAAAACATCATGAAGATGACAGTGAAGGGCAATTATTGGGGCATCTTCACCAAGAGCTGTTTTCCACAGAGCCTGGGCTAGGATGGAGGGATAGGTCCAGGGCTAACGTTCTGCCAACGTGATACAACCTGAACATAGAGTAGCACCGTACGGTGAGATCCTGAAGTTCTGCCTCTAAGCAATTAAGGGAAAGAGCTTGGCTGGACATCTCCAATTCTACGACTAAGGCATTTAATGATTATTATATGATAAACCCTCCAAGGATGGTCTCATCATTTATCCTAAAGTTAATTTTTCAAAACACCCCCAAATTAATGAAAGCCCTTCAACCTAGTGTAAGTAACTTCATGTTGCATTAATCAGTGAGCCACAGAACATGCACGCTTCCTTTTACCACAGCAGAAAAAATTCCCCATGATCATCACTTTCAACTCAAGATTCCTTACTGGAAAATAAAACAGCACACTTCCCTGCTTTGTGATCCGGGTAGATTAGTGTGCAGAAGCAAGGCTGAAGATGATGTAATGGAGAACAGTGATCTCCCCAAGCTCCTGGGCCTTCCACACACCACGTATGAATCACGGGTGGTGGAGAGAAGGGCCCACTGACACACACGTTCCCTTGAAGGGCATGTAGCGCAATAATAATTCTAATAGGGATTTCAGACATGAATTCAGAATGGCGAGTCATCATTTGATAGACAAGTCCAATGTGAAAAATGCAGGCAACCATTTATCATTAAGAGGTGGCCTGGGATGTACTGTTTCATCGTAATTTAAATGAGAACAAATGATCTCATTACTGATAAGCCTGAAAGGGCTCTCCCCACTCCACACCCTCCCTTTACAACCACCTTTCTGAGAGGACTAACTACTCATTCATGAAACTGGAGGACTTTTTAAGGGAGTTGTGTCCATGCAGGATGCCAGCTGGCAGAAAGCACCTGTCTCTTACTGCCAGCACCAGGGGTCAGAGGCGGGCAGCTGAGTGATATGACTTGTGAAGCTCATTTATTTGGGGATCTGGCTGGGCGAAGGGGACTCTTCTAAAAATGCAAAATTATGAACCCAAGCCGAGGTTTAAGACTTTAGGATGGACCCTGAACCTCACAGTAACTCCCTCTGCTAAGTGGGTGACACCCTTGGCAATGTACAGATGACAGTTGGAAGCTCTGCTGTCCCCGAAGGATGAGGACAGTAACAGCCAACCTCTTGCTCACACAAGCTCATCTGGATGCCAGGTTTGGTCAACACAGGGTCTTACATCAATAAATTATTGATCAGCGTTTTAATCTGACCACTAAGGGGAAAAGGACACTAGCTGATGAAAAATAACAAAAAGCCCTATTTGCTATAGGAGCTGGGCTAACATTTTTTTCTTTGGAAGAACAAAGGGCAATCAATCTGGTGATATTCGGTAGAAATGATTCTTCCCCAATCTAGTAAGGCAATTGCCTTTGGGTCACAGACAGTCTCAGTCAGTCAAAGTGTACTACATCACTAAGCCATGAACCCCAGGGTGGCTTGGTACTCACCCTCCTGCGGCAGCAGCGTGAAGGCACGTTCTTCCAAACTTATCTGGGGTGTCTATTGCAAAGCCTGCAGACAGCACGTGCTCATTACTAAACAAGGACACTATGCTATACTTTTGTCCTAGTTAAACCACAAGAAACATTGCAGAGACAGAAAAATCAGTTAGTAGGAAAACCAGAAGGCAAGCAATTGTAGTCAGAAAGAGGTTGTCATGGAAACGAATGGTAACTGCTCAAGCTTGGCCATTTCACAGGAAGCGCCACGAAGTCAAGAGGGATTTATTTTCACATTCAGCCCTGGGAGAACCACAGCCCCATTTTTCAGTCCCAGGATAGAAATGTGCGAGACCGATTTGAGATAAGCAGGGCAACAGGCAGGCAGACAGAACACACAGGGAAAACACGCACGCCAGAGGAGAAAGCCTAACATGCAGGGAGTAGATGTTTCCTTAAGTGCGTTCCAACCTTTCTGTTGGTCTTAGGTCTGGGAAACAAGCTTTCACGCAGGGATTATTTTCAAACGTGCCAAAAGCAGTGGAAGCAGGTACAGTACTTCAAGGGGAAAATCTGCCTCCGGAATGCTGATGAATTAATTCGGGAACAATCTTCACCTTGCAGGCCCCTGCCACTTTTGTATGCCTAGGAACTTCATATAGGGAGGCTGGTGGAAGCGGTGGAAGGAGACACTAGGAAAGCTCCAAACCAGAAAGAACTTCTTGGTTCTACAGAGCCTCACATTAAAAAAACAAAATTAAACCTAGTTGGAAGGGGATCAGCCTTATTGATTTTTCAGTGCCCAGGGAGTAGGGAGGTAACCTGATATTTTCTACTACTAAAATGTACAGGATTTGGGCTTTTTCTTTTTCAATAATGTTAAACGTTAAGCCACCACTTTAAGCCTCAAAACCTTTTTGTGTTTATGACTTAAATTTCCCATGTGGCCTTTCAGCTTTGGCTGAAAATCAGATGAGATTCCCATCCCAGGGCAGGGGTGCTAACACCCTAACAGTCTAACCCCCGAGGACCAGCGGGGACTGTGGTATGCAGTTAGCTGTGGGGCCACCTCATTCTCAGAAGTCATGTGACATGAAGCACAGGCAGCCATGCGCTGGACCAGACACCGGAAGCCATGTGACTCGGGTACAGGACAGACAGCCCATCTCCGACGATAGTTCACTTACCTGATGACAAGAGCTTTCTGCAGCAGTCAGAGTGGGCATTTAGGGCAGCTAAATGTAAGGGGAACATGCTATGGATCCCACACCTGAGGAGGGAAAAAGAGCAGCTCACGGTAACCGGTAATGCAAAAGGACACCGCTCCCCTGCAGTCCTGGGACGAAAACCTGCCCCACACAGGGACCCTGAGGGAGATAATTCTGTAATCCTTCCATTCTATAAATAATGATGCAATTGCTTTTGACCTTAAAATAATAAAGCCCTAGACTTAAACCAGAATTAAAAGCCTATAACCATAGGAATATAAGTTTCAAAGAAAATGTTTCACATAAACAGTGACTTTTAAAAATTAACCCCCGTCATTACCTTTCAGTGTGGTGATAACACATCTCATTCATTCACTCAACCACTCATCTACTCACTTTCTAAGCATCCCATACTGTGCTGAGGCCAGATGTGCCTGCAAAGGAACCGGTTTTGCACCTCGATTTGATGAACAAAGTTATCATTGACCTAGTATGTGCCAAGCACTGTCACGAGTTAGTTGTGACAATATCATTGAAAATAAAAATATAAGTGAAAATAAAAACTAATGTTTACATTTTGCCAAGTCAAATTTCCTCTTCCTAACAGACTTCTAATGTTAGCCAGTCACAAGACCGCATCACTATGTGCACACCCCACTGACACAGCACACTCTGAGCAGCAGGAATCCAGAAGAGGTCTCGTTAGACTGACCTGTGCCACATTACACCCAGGACTGTCCCTTCGGGACTGACCCCCTCCTCTCCTGGGCAAGGACCCTCACATCTCATTTTAATCAAGTAACATACTTCAGATTTTAAAATGCTCTATGTCACAAATGTGAGGCTGTATCTGTTTACACACCGCAGCACTAATTATCCATGTTTCTTTTTGGGCACAAGGTGGCCTGTTCTCAGGTTCTGTGCTTCATAAAGAAACACACATGATTTGAATTTATTAGGCCTTCGTTACATGGATTTTATGTGCCATCTCCAAAGTCATTATGTATGTGTGTACAAATGCTTGGAAAAAATATATGCTTATATTTCACGGTATTTGATGTTCTATGAAATCTATGTCTATCAGCAATGTTTTTCCTGATAAGTTCTGCTTATTGTGTCCCTGTTCTGTTTTCCCAGTGAGACTTCTCTCCTACATGGAGACTTCTGGACCAGTGTACATAATAGCTGGCATCCATCAAGAGATGCAATTTGCTGTCTTCCAGAGCTCTTATAATTGCCTCCCTCTTATGACTGCCTGACTCCAGACAACAGCGTCTGACAGCCATTGCATCAGTGATGACCTCGAAGCTGACAGAAAGGACGTGGGGTGCAGGGGACGAGGGGGCTTTCCTGGGTGTGCTGCTTTCACATTGCTCCCTCAGGATTCAACAAAACACTATTTTTAAAAAATAGGTAACATGTTTTACAAGCTCCTTACTAAGTGGAACTTTAAGCTAATGTGATTTTACCAAACCTTTTTATTTGTTTTAGAGCGTTAAGGCAAAAATGTATGATTATATATCTCTGGATTTTTGGAAAAAGAAAATGAGTAAGATACATTCTAGGATAGTTTTAAGCTCCTAAAAGGACATGACTAAAATCAAAGGCTGGGTTTCTTTAAATCTTCCACATTCTTTAAATACACACACATCCACACATGCATACATATATTTATGTACGTGTACACATCATACATATAGTACATAAAATAACTTTATACAAAATAATGCAAGCAAACAAATTAGAGAAAATAGCATCAAACTCTACAAGCGACCTACCTGGTAAAACAAAAGCATAAATAATAGTATAACACCAACAAAGCCATAATATACTCCATAAACTTCATTACCAATACTTCTAAACCACCTACATTAGCTAATTATTTCCTTGTTCCATTGCTTTTTATAAAAAAGCAGAACTAAAAGGAGAACTAAAACAACTCTAATTTAAAATGGCTAGGACTGGTGATTTAGCTCAATGGTGCCTCACCTGCCTCATAAGCACAAGGTCCTGAGTTTGATCCCCGGTATCAGAAAAAAAAAAAAATGAAAATAGCTAGCACAAATTCCATTTGATACATTTCTATTCCACTGTTAATAAAAAGTTGCCACTTCAGTGTAAGTTTTAGAAATATACTAGTGTAGACTCAAGAATTACTGGTATTTGAACTAGACTGTGGTTTAAATAGTAAAATGGTTTAAATAGTAAAACTAAACATTAAGATAAGATAGAAAAGAAAAATTTGAATCTCTGAACATGTCAGAACTGATTCGCACATCTAAAAATAAACTAATTTATTGGAAAGACTAGATAACCTTTAGCAGGAAATCAAGACTTGGCTATCTTTGTCAAACAAGCTTCCTTCTTACCTCATCAGGTATACATCAAGGAATGTCAGGAATAAAGTGGTGAGATCACCCTAAAGTTAACAATGCATAAATTACAGGAACAAGGAGACCAATTCCAATTAAATTGCTATATTTATTTGATAAGTCATAAAATTAATGGAAGCCATTTGGATTTAGTCATTTCTAGTTTATCTGTTAGCTGGCATCTCCTACCCAGGTATTTCAAGACCAAAGGGGTGTGAAAAACTGTGCTTGTTGAGACTCTCAGAGGCAAAGGAAGGCCCTAGTGCTGTTCTTGGCTTCAGGAGAAATGTCAGTCCCTTCCCACGTCCAGCCTTTTAAGGAAGAGCCTTCCCTTTAGGCCATGTGGTAAGGGACACTGTAATTATGGTGGTGAGGTCAGAAACTGGGTTTGAGCCCTAGTTTTGCTACTTCCTATTTGATTTTTTTATAAGTGAATGAGGATTCTCCTCAGGAAAATAAAGATAATTATAGCGACTATATCATAGTGATCATAAAGACTCATTGGTCTAATGAGTACAAAGTGCCAACCAGAGTGCCCGGTACACAGAAAACCTTTGCCACTGATGTTAAGATCATTTTTATTAGCTTAATTGCTAACCAGCAGCCTGTGCTTTTTGAAGTTGTAATCAGCCTGTTCTTCCTTAGAAGCTGAGAGTAGGTTGTGATCCACTAGCATTTGTTATTTTTCCATCTTTCTAAATCCTTTCCGATACTTATCTCCCAACTCTCCTAGGCAAGTAGGATTGGCTTAGTTCTGTCCACTCGGTGGGCAGGGCGAAAGCATTTCCTAAGTACAGAGGAGGAGGATGTTAAGATTCTTATCTAAATTGTTAGCCTACGTCAAAATACCAAACCTCTCCTGAGTTTCATCTATGCCCAACTACACATTAGTTATGCATCCTAAGTTTCGAGTATGCGAGTGTTGACCTGGTCAGTGAGACCTGGTCCTCTATCTGTAGAGACAGAAAGTAGATCCTTCTGTGCAAGTCCAGACTAGCACGGCCAGGCAGCCCCCTCTGGGTCTGGCCACTGCCCGAGCTACGGGTCATCCTGGATTTCAATGACCTTCTTTCCAGTCCCCTCAAGAGCCAGGCTCTGCACTGCCGCTGGCTTCTGCACATGCTGGTCCCTCAGCCTGAAACTCTTCTCACCAAGTTACTCAAAGTAGAAGTGCAAAGCTGCGGTCACTGGAAACAGCTCTGGACAATCGAGAGTTCTCTGTCGGGATTTAAAAATTGTCCTCTAGTTTTTATGATAATCGAAAACAACTGACAAAAGAACTTATCTGGGCTCAGCCGAATGACCCTGTCGTCACCACATACCTCCGCCAGATCTCAGCGCCCATATCGGGATTGTGATCTCGTTGTGCTGATCAGTGAGGGTGGCCTTACTAGACAGGCAGGCAGGCCTCCGATTCCTCTCGCTTCATTTCCTAGACACGAAGACTCAAGTGCACACTCACACTCTCATCCTCACAGTCGCCGCCTTATCTTCAGCTATGCTGTGATAGAAGCTCAGGGTTCCTCCTGTGTCTCTTCCACGCAGCCAAAGAAGGAAAGGCTACCTGAGCAACTGCGCATCCCCAAGGCACTGTTACTACACGGTGGGTTTGCATAAAAAGCCAAGTAGTTGCAAGGAAAGAAACTTTGTGCTTACTGAACTAAAAGTGGTTTTCAGGAAATTTTAAATATACAGTGGGCCAATTAGTTTTAATCCCTAAAATGGGTTTAAATCTAGAAAAAAATCAGAAACTCGTGGCTGCTTACCAAACTTCCCCAATTATCTCACGATTGAAAAATATACCACTGAAATGACTACAGTTGGCAGGCAGAGTTGGTTTGAAGCCTGGGCATTTTGATCTCCAGCTGTGGGCAGCAGGCTGGCTGGGACTCTCTCCCTGCAGAACCCAGAAGGGCCTGCTGAGGCCTGGCACAAGGCAGCCCCTTTCACTTACTAAGAAGAGCTCTGGCTCATGGTAGATTCCTCCCTCTCCTGAAAGGGACCCCGCTGGTGGTCAGCACCCCATTCTCTGCGGTCCTACACCTCGTCCTTGGCATGGCCTCTGGTCTGTGGGCGCTCATCAGTATAATCTCTAGCAAGGGCCTCCCCAGCTCCGTCCGATTTCTGTAACAGCTTCCAGACTGCTCAGGATGGAATCCAGGTTCAGGCAGGACATGCAAGGCCCTTCAGGGTGCTGCTGTTCTTGCCTTTCCACCTCATCTCTTCCCAATGTCTGATTACCCAGCTTTGGAATCTGCTTTCAACACGCTGGCATGTCTGTGTCTTCGTAAGGCTGTTCCTTCCTCACGGACGGTCCTTCTCCACTCCCTCTCCTTCTACTCCACATGCTGCCCACCCACAAACTCCTACAGCCTTTCTCCTGCTGACAGGCACCTTTCTGGGAGCCCCAGAGCCAGCAGGTCTCTGCTCCCTCAGCCTGCTCCCAACCGCCATGGTGACATCCCTCACAGCTCCGCTGTCTGCTCTCATACCATCTTGGCCACCACACTGGGTGCCGCGGTCACTGGGACTCAGTTGACAAGGTCAACAGTCCCATGCTCCAGGTCCAGGCAGAAGGCCTGGCCTCCGAGACTGCTGTCCATCATAATCCCATGCAGCTTCTCTGGGCCATTTCCCTGCTGGCTCCCTTGGGAGACTGAGTTCTGGGCCCAACACGTGACAGCAGAATTCCTAATACCCACTGCCTGCAGGCTGTTCTACAAACCCAGTTAATCTGGATAAAGAAAATGTGTTTTTTTTTTATAAAATGGAGTACTACTCAGCCATAAAGAACGAGAAACTAGAGATATTTATAGCTAAACGGATGCACATTGAGGCCATACTCTTAATGAAATCAATGTCACACATGTGTAAATACTGAATAGTTTCTCTGGTGTGAAACACTAAAAGTGTAAATAAGGATCAAAATGTATAAGTGATATTGTGTAATAGGAAGAAAAGGCCTAAAAGAGTAGAGGAAGTGGAAGGAGTAGAGGAAGGGAAAAAAGGGAAAAGAAAAAGTAGGTGAAAAGGAAAAACATGGAAACAATGTCTTTGTAAACTGGGAAGGGTGGAGGTGCTGAACGCAGGGCAGGGGAATGGGGAAAAATAAAATCAAGATAAGTCATGTAAAGGTACAAGATCCCAATGATGAATGGAACTGTATTATATACCTAAAATGTAAAAGATGAAAAAGCCCCTGAAACCCAGTTAAGTCACCCACCGTCCCTGGGGTCAGGTTAACTCCTCACTCAGGCAGGCTTAGTCCTCTTTGGTTTGGTCCTTTACATACTAAGCAATGAAATACCACCGTTTATTGACAGCTTACTGTGCGCCAGGCACTGTTCAAAGCATGTCTAACACAGACGCTGCTTAACAGCCATCGCATGTGTTCTGTGGGGCCGACCCCACACCCGCCCAGACCTTTCCGGGAAGCACCTGGCTGCTTCACCCCCCAACACACCCAAGGGCAGTCATTATCACCCCGTCTTCACCAGAGGCAATCAAAGCTCAGAGGGGCTGAGCAGTGGACTCTGAGGCACAGCGGAGAGCAGGGCAGACCTGAGTGGCAGCTACCACACGGTCCCGCCTCAGGCAGAGGTGACGATGTCACCACAACCGTCCCCTTAGAGCACGATGCCATCACACCCCTCGTCAGAACAGGCTGGCGGAGCAGCCGGTCTCCTCAGAGCCTGGCACTACATGACGTCACGGCACGCTCTCTGTTCAGAGCGTGCATCATCTCACCGCTCTCCTGGGAGCGTGATGTCATCACACACGCCTCAGAACAGGGGCAGAACCCTGAGGGCTGTCACCTTCCCACACTGTCGCCTGGGAACGGGACGTCATCGAGTCCCTCAGAGCATGACTTCAGCTCAGGCGCCCTGGCCCCTGCGCGGCAGGCCACTCTCCGCTGCGGCCCGCTGTCCTCCTGGCCCTG